ATTTCTCTGAAGCTTTAGAAAACTTACAGTCAATTTACTATTCAACCTTGACATTAAACATTTCTGGTTTTCAAAGCGCAACTTTGTCAGGGTTTTTGTTTGTGTGCAATTTAAAGGCATCAACTGGGGAAAAGATTTCTCTTACAAAGGTGTCTCTTGCTCCTTGGGCTATGTTCTAGCAGATGTAGATTAAGGCATGGTGAGGGATCACTGGAAAATGACTTACCCCTCAAAATCAACTTCTCTAAAATAAAGAGAAAAGGAAAAAATAATGAGGATGTGCGCACAAGAAGCTGTTACACAGTGCAGAAAGCTGGCAGCCGGACCTTATTCTCTATGGCTAAAGGATGAGGCAGAAAGAGAAAACAATACAGCCCTTGCTTTTGATCCAAGACTCACGTGTGTCTTTTTTTTTTTTAAGAGAAAAAAAAAAAAGCAGGCACTCACCTTACTAAATGAGAGACTTAAAGCAGAGCTGGTTATAAAGCTACAAAATGATTAGGTAGAAATAACTCATTAACATTGATAAAATGCCAAGCTGCAGTTAAAGATATGGGAAAAAAAAAATCAGCAACAGTCTAGCAGCCAAGAAATTGGTAGAGCTTTTGGCTTAATTTATTACATAGTAAAATTTCAATCTCCTTACGTATTGAAGTATTTTAAGACTAAATTATGAACATCAAATATTTAATTTGTAAACATCATTTATAACATTTTTCTGACATTGTTCTTCCAGAAAAAAATCTGAGTTGTATTGCAGCAGGGTTTGGGGCTCAGATCAGGTTCAGGACCATACGCAGAGAGCCTCCTCCAAATCTAATTATTAATGACATTATTGAATCCAGCCAGATGTTTCACATGGATAAAATTAAGTACATGTATAAATCAAGATCCAAGTGCACACTTAGATTTGACAGACGATAAGGAAAGGTGAAACAAAAAGTAATGAGGACAGTTAATGAAAAAATATATATTCCTGGCTGTTAGTATAACTTGAAATTAAAAATGCAAAATAGAATAGACCTGTTAAATTATCACTCTGCTAATGACAAATAAGCAGGATGTTTCTCACATCATATTTCTTACTAGCTTCTGCCTGGTCATGTTTTAGTCAGCCTGAGTATTACATTTTTTACTGCTTCCCAAAGGTAACTACATAAGAGATAAATGTACTTTCGGTGTACAAAACATAGGCAATGAGCTGCTTTTCTATTTATAATGTGAGAACTTCAATTATTAATCCAAATGGGTAACCCTTTACGTAAATGATGTAAATTAAAGGTAGTGTGCATGATTTAAAATACAGTATACATTTGTGTTCTACATATCTTTTAAAATTGTAAGACCATTTGCATCTAATCAGCTGCAAATCAGACACTAAAAAAGAAGAATTTTAAATGTAGTATTTTAAGAAAAGGGGGAAGACATTACCAAATAAAACTATTCTTAACCAGGAAAAATATTTTTAAATGAGCATGCCAGCCAAATGCAAGTTTTTCCTACAAAAGAAAAACCTTGGGAAATAGGAATTTCTATTAAAACATCAATCTCAGTCAATAATTACAATTGTTCTTCTACAATAAATCATTTAAATAGTCAAGAATTAACGCAACGTGTCTTTAGTGTACTGCTGTTGTACCAAGTTTACCTGGAAACACAGACTGAAACGATGGCTGGCTTTGGATAAAGGTGGCATAGAGAAAAACGTCGAGCATGCAGTATGCACTCCCTCTACTGGACACTGAGATTATCCTGAACAGGCATTGAGAGAAAGGAAAGGACATGTCCAGGCATCCAGGTACCCTGAAATAAAAGCCTGTCACAGCGTCTGTACTCTTCCCTCAGACTCAAGCTACAGCTCATATTCACAGGGAAAAAAACAGATTTCAAAACTCTTGTTTATATTCCAAAATACATTTCCTAGCAGAAGCTAACACCTGATTTACACCCCAAACAAACACTTCACCACGGTGAACTTGTATAAGCGCACAAAAACTCATGTGCCTTTGACCAGTACATGAGGACTGCCACTGTCTGTCCATCTCCCATCCCTATGGGAAATAGCTCAGGCAGAAAAGTGCTGATAACTTCTGATCTGCTGAGGGAACAGAAGCAATGCATGGTTTGGGCAGCTGGGATGTATTAACATTTATAAAAGCTGTTGCAAAGGATTTGGTTCTAGACAGTCAAAGGCTAACCTTTGTCAGTCTTTTCCCTCTCCTCCCACAGCTCCTGAAAGGTACAAGCAGAAGGGTGTCATAATTTACTTGGGTTGGCAGGGTCTAAATGTTCCACAGAAATGACAGCTCTCCCTATCATTAAGGCTTTCTGGTGGTTTGAGTACTTCATTATCATGGAGGCAAAAAGAAAGAGGTGGTTATATCACATCACTATAATCCATTTCAAGTCCAAGTGTTTCACTGCATGAACTTCTGTACTCTCCTTCAAGTGAGTTTGTGTAACAAGAGTTCCATAAACCTACGGAAAGTTTTCCTGGAGTTTGCAAAGCAGTGGGGCTTCACATTTTCGGTAAAGATAAAGGCAATCTCCCACTAAAGCCTTCCATTCACCAATTTTCTTGATCTTAGTTTGAGGGTGGGAAAAGCCTTCCTCCCCGTACACCCAAACAGAACCCTGAGAAGACATTCTAGCTCAAGTGGGGACAGAACAGAAAGAAAACAGAGAACAAATGAGATGAAAAATGCATTAAGAGACCAGAGAAAGGCAGAGACTGAGCACAAAGTAAAAACAAAGTGAGGAGACTGGACAAGCCCAGGTCCCCAGCCAAGTTTCCAAATCCCTATTGCTGTATTTTATATTTGCTGATAAAATAAAACCGCGTTCTCCCTGAAGGTCATGTGGTACAGTGCAATAATTACACTCCAAGAAATGAGCAAGTACACAAACGATTCACCTTTATGCTCTCCACCTGACAACATACACACTTCTGACTGTGATCATTAGTTGCCAGGAAAACTGCTATCGCATCAAAATGTAGAGTTATCACAGGCCAGCTACAAACCAGACGATTTACAGGGGTCCCTCTGTGCACAGAGGCTTCATTTGCTCTCTCTCTGTTTGCAAAATGTTCCCCTTCATTTCTAGATGTGCTCATCTCTACACACACGCAGGTCGACAGCACCCACTGATTCCACGTGCTAACAAATGACATCTCTAATGCATGAGGTCTGTCGTCAGGCTAGAATGGCTCTGAGACAGCACTCCAAAGGACTATTAGTTCTTCTTCTCTTGGATCAAAATATACAAAGGACAGCAAAACTTTGGCCTGGCAAGAACTACAGTTCTGGTAGCACAAGGACATACAGACAGAAGCAGCAGCACATAATGAAGGCAGCAATGCTGAATTCAGGAGGAGCTGAATGTAACATTTCATATGCTGACTTAAATATTTGACAGATTGAGGTCTAATAATCACAGTCTAAGAGATTCTGTTGTTTATTTTGTTCTATCAGATTTTCATTTTACCACGTTTTTAATTTTCAACCAAGTCGTCTGACACATGATTAAAAGATACTTTAAACAGCCTCTTTCTGCAGCACAGAGCTGCATATGGTCAGGTTATAAATTAAAGTAACTCAGCACTAAAACCAAATTTGGGTATTTTCTACTGGAAAAAAAGAACAACAATTACATATAGTTTTCATTGCATAAGTTAAAACCTCAGTATGTATTGTTTCATTTTGAATGTATTCTTTGAAAGCATTGCTAGGCATTTTTTTTTTTTTTCCTTTGGAACTGTGGAATTTATTAGCTTTCACCCTTACATACATAGCAGTGATCAGTCTCCAGAAGTGGTAACAATACCACTTTAAACACATACACATGCATGCACGCACACACACACACACAAAAATCAAGGCTTGAATGTCCTTTATATCTTGCAAGAAATATAGCAACCAATATTCCATGCAGAGGTACAGCAAATGAAGTCCTGTCAAGCAAATGGCAGGAATGACAGCAGATGTCTGGATTCCTTCATAGCTGGTTGCATAAAGGTAGCACACATATTTCACCGAGGGAAAAAAAAGCCTCTGACAAGACAGTCTAACAGTACTTTTTATTCATAGTTGGCATTTTTGACTGGTGTGGTACATCAGTAGGTACTAAGATGATGAGCCAAATTAATCTTGATAAAGCTTCATTTGCACACGGAAAGCAAAGTCTGCAACACTCAGTCATGGCTAAACCAGGCTACCACAGCTTAATCTAAGGTGTAACGTCTGGATCAAGGTTCTCACAGTCCAGACTTTACTCTGGACCTGACCCAAACCACTTATTTTCATGTCAAACTATACAGTAACTCTGTCTGATCGCAACCAGCAGAAACGAGCATTATGCAGCTCTGCTGCTTTAGATACGCCAACAAGCCACAGACTTCTTTTTGGATTTGAATAAAGCGTTTCATCTTTCAGCCTCCCTTTATTCATGAGGTTTACCTGTTTCACAAAAAGCTGTCATAGGGAGCTAATCTTTGTGTAATATTTTGACACTTCAAAGTGTTATATACCGACTACTTCTTTCAAGATGTCCTCAGTCGTATTACCTGCTTGCAGTAGTAAGTAAATGCTACAAAGCAGAGACACTATTTTCCTGAATTGGGAGACACTAGCATGGTTTTGCATGTTGTGAAAGAATTATGCAGCATTTACTGAGAAATATGCATCTCTGAAAAAGAAGCTGAGGACATAACAAAGTTGCACATGAAGTAACTAAGTATAAAAAATCTGGAACATTTCCCTGTCCAAAAAAATCAGTGCTGTCTCACATGGTTTTGTCTAATAACCTGTCCCCTGACATAACGTAACAGGTGTTCAGTGCAACTTCCTTAAATTAAGCTGTAACCCGCTTCAGAAGTAAATCCATTAAACTTGTGTTTAATGCTTAAAGTTTGCCACACTGAAGTTTAAGTGTACTTTTTGTATACAACCTAAACGTTACTAATGGTCCTCTCTAGTAATGCAGAATTTTTGAAAACTCACCACTTTTCTCTCTTTAAAGCAAATGTTCATTTCCTTGTATTTCTTCATAGCAGTCTCCAGTTTATTCTTCAGATCAATGGCACATCTCAGACGATCATCATTTATCCCTGCTCTGGTAAATAACTGCAAAGCAAAAAAATCTACATTGTTATTTTTTTTTCTAGACATCTGAGTCAAAAAACACTTGTTTTTCTTCCATCTTTAATGAAACAAATTCCTTTATCTTACAAGTGACAATTAGTGAATGCACTGCTTTTCCCATCTAGAATATAAAGCTAACAGCAACTACTAAAGACAAACAAAGAATGAAAAGAAGCTACAAACACCTCCTGAGAATGCCCTTCACGGGGCCAAATTCCATGAACGAAGCTCCTGAGCAATATCAATTGACAGAAAGGACATCGTATTTTTCTGATACAGACATGTCTCACAAAAACATGCCGAGTTTTTCTTTAACATTTTGCAAAGAAGTTATTTTCTGAGATGTCTTTTTTTTTTTTTGTAACTTAAGTGCGACTGTAGGTAGCATACCTAATGCTGAAAGCTGAGCCATGAAACAAGTTATATAGCTCCTATAGTTTCCTTCTGTCCACCCCTACTGAACCAGCAACCTTCTTTTCCATTTGCACCAATGTTTCTTCAACATTAAATTCCTTTTTGCTCACTCTCCCTCAAGCTTTAGTGCCCACTTCATCTTTTTATAGAAAGTGAAGAAATAGCTCTTTATCCCACCTGAATCCAGGACTGCACAGAAGGCAAGAACTTATTTCTGAGGAGTTTGTGAGCATCCACAACATTGTTTATTACGGCAGTATTGTCTTCATTCTCATGCACTTTTAAATCTGTTCAAAATAGGAAAATAAGAGTTAGAGCATGACATTTATAGTATCTTCACTAGAGAAGTTAAAAATAAGTAGAAGTAGACATGAACCTTTCTAAAATATTTGATATTCAATATTAATTATTCTACTGTTATTCTATGCATTGAAACAAATCAAAAGGAAACGATGAAAAGCTTTCAGTGCAATGTTGAGAGCTGTTAAGCCATCACAACTAAGGAATCACTAAACAAACCAAACTAAACAAACCAAAGACAAGTGCAGTCTTACTATTTACATCACACCTTGTTCTACGTTCCCATCAATGCACTGGGACTTATTGCACCAGTTTTTGCATATTCCATATGAAATGATCCCTGTCCCCCATAGCAAAAGGCACTTGAACATCAAAGAAGCCAAGTGTGCCACTACCCAAGTACAGATGGTACTTTTCACCTCTTAGTCACTTGTAGGCTCCACAAATACCTTTCCAATTCTGTTGTCTGCAGGCACAGAAGTAGGTACCTGTCTCACTTGCTGTTTGCACTTGAAATTTCATTAGGACACTACATGTAAGAAATTTCTCTTGGACTACCAAAACACCTTCTACCTTGATTTTTCTAGATGCAACTCATATTAGCAAAGTTATAGAGAAAAGATAAAATCATAACCCTTAACTCTTTCAAGCAAAATTCTTACTGCTTCTTGCAAGTTGTCAGTAACAAAGAAAAGCTTAAGAAACAGTCAATTTGAGGCTTTTTAAATAAGTAGCTTATACACAGGTTATAGGGAGAAGGAAAGAAGTGAATAGTGGAGCACATGGAAAAGAAAATAATACAGGTTAAACAGACTGTATTTTTTTTAAATGCAGGGAACTCATTATGGGTACTACAAAACACCATAATATGTTTTCAACAACTAGTATGAAAGTTCAATCTTAGAAGCTAATTAATAAAATCTGAAAATCCCACACGAGCATCCAAAACTAAGAATGGTTGCTAGATGACCCAAAAATGGAAAAGAACAATAAACCAAAATGGTGTTCAGGAACCTCAAACACTTAAGTCATAGTAAAACCAAAACAACTACAGAACACATCAAACAAAGACTGTTTCCAGCTGTTTGTGAAAAATTGTTCCAGGTACCTGTGGAGATTTCAAGGTCTAGAGTATATTTATGAGAAATAAGCCCATGGTTCCTAACAAAAGTTTCGTAATCATCATCGTGGAAAGCAAGGGCACCAGATTCAACTCCCAAGGATGTGCCTCCATCTAATTCTTTTTGTTCAGGTGTCTCCTGTTTGTCATCTAAGTCTTCATTTTTCTCAGTTCTAACACCCTGAGAAGCAGAAAGAATGTCCTTGCTGCAGCACGGCTGTTCATCATCCACGAATCCGACATATGACTGGGTAACGTCTGTCTGGGAGGCCAGGGCGGGTGCAGGACTATCCTCATTAGCAGTCATTTCTTTGTGGGGTTCTGGAGTTGTGTCATTCACAGTGAACTCGAAAGGATCTGGCAACAGAAGCCGGAAACAGTTTTCCATCTCTGTCAGTGTTTCAGCAATCTCTTGGGACATTTCTATGAAGAGACAATGGTTTTAGAACATTGTTAAACAATGTGACATGCTGATGTCTCCAGAGCAGAGACAGATCTACAAAACAAATACCACTGCCAAATAGGTAATCCTTTATCTAGTAATCCATCATAATTTATCCACATGTATCTCTTTCCCATGCAAAAACTGTCCTTGTGACAGAGAAGTGACAATACTATTCTTAAGCAGGAAATCTAGAATTCTAGGAGTGTTCCTCCTTTCTTATCCTCCCTAACATTCCATTGTGTAACAAAGATGACTCAAATACCTTCATAAATTTGAGGCAGAAAGACAGTACTCATAAGAGACAAATTTCTCAGTGAAGTTTGGGAGGAGTACTTGTGCAGCCATGAGTGTTACAGTTGTTTGTGGGTGCACCCATGAACATATGCTACAGCTGAAAGAGATGCTACCAATAAAACTGATTTTAGGAAGGTTAAATCTCTTGAAAATTGCACTCTCATGCATGGAAATGCTTGTGGCATGCAGGATAAATGCAGACATAAATGCATATATTGCAGAAACTGAAGCAATTTAACTAAATGATCCTTTGTAACTGCGATTTAATACATTATCTCTGTTCTTCTTCCATACTGCAGACATATGTTGATGTACACATAGTGCTTAGAGATTCAGCTCCCAGTTAGATGCACTGTTTAGCAGCAATATGCTACTTTTCATACACTTCCTACACTGCATCCAAGATTTCTGTGCAGACCAGAGCTCAACCTTCTGGAACACACATAATGACTGTGTACACAACATAATTAAGGTTATCAGTCAGGAAGGTGTTGAGAAGCCTGTACCTAGTCATAAACAAAGGAATTGAGCCACTAGCTCCAAACCACTTTGTGGTATCATGGAATCGCAGAAGCTGGAGTTAGAAGGGACACATGAGGATCATTGTGCCCAACTCCATATGATGTGCCTGCTTGGGATTATGCATTCACACTTTACTGAATTACAGACCACACCTTTTCACACCTTTTTTTTAAATCTTTTAATTCAACCTGGGCTTAAAGGACTGTCATTTTATTCTTTTTATTTTATTTATTCCATGATATTCTTTAAGTAAGAGAGACAGAGGGTCAAGCACTAACAAACGTGCTATTCCTGCACTCTGTGGTCAGCTATTATTTGGATAGCCATTCTGTTGGAATGTGTTTTACGTAATCTTACAAATGATTCCTTTAAAAACAAATACAAATGCCACCGAAAGAACCAAAGCACTTTACCTGCCATTTCTTTTTCAGCTCTTTTGGCTTTTTCTTTGTAAATGTTATCCAATCGTTTCTGCTTCTCCTCTTCCCTCTGCCTTTCAGCCACGGTTCTGGCATGCACATCTTGAAAATCCACCTAAGGAAATGAAGAAAAAAGTATAACATTCCTTGGAAGAAATATATAGAAAATCCATTTCCTAAGATCCTTATCTGTGTTGAAAAATCCTCTAACATCAGCAATCAGCCAGCAGCTCAGCAGCACTTCCTTTTATCTCTTCTCCTCCTGGAATCAATAACTACAGTAATTCTGAATGGAGGTTTTGCTTCTACTAATAAGGGACTGTGGAGAATCAATGGCTTTCAAAAAGGAATCATAAGGTAGAAAAACAAAGCGTTTAGTCCCACATCTAAACCGCAAAAATAACCTAGGCTGTGGGAGACCTCTGTCACAGCACTGGAGGCAGGGGTTAGGGAGTTGGGCAGGAAGGGACTACACAGGGTAAGTATTCAAGTTACATGAAAACATCACACTGTTTCTACTTGTAGGAAAGGAAATTTAGGAAAACTTGTAAGCACTACTAGCACACATAGATATTGCTTACTAAACAACTTATAAGCAAGCAAAGTAGTAGAGATGATATTAAAACATGTTAAAAGATATCACATTTTGGCTTTTACAACTACATTTGTTGGATATGTGGACTGAGGGAAAAGATACCAATTAGTCTCACTTTACCTTCTGACTAATAAATAAATATAAATCTGAATGATTCAAAACACTTTCTTAAAGTATCTGCAGAGGGTTTTTTGTTTTTTTTTTTTTAGTTTGTTCTTAGTAGGGCTTGAAGATTAAATATTTTTCACTTCTATTTCAAGGAAATGAATCCTGAATTGTGATATTAGATAAGAAATGCCTTTCAAAAAGGAAAACCACAGCATATCCATTTGATTGCTACCACATAACTTCCATTAATTTCACCACAGGTTACACTGAGTGCCGGGCAAGCCCATACTTTACTGCTAATGAAGCCCACAGCCTCTCCAGCACGGTTCCTGTACTACAAGCACCCACTGAACATTCATTTCCATTGTAATTGCTGGATGAGAAAGCTTGTCAATATCCTGTAATGGTTCCCAGATACTGACATTCTGCACCAACATTTTGGAGCCACACAAGAGTAAAACAGTAAAATTATGGGGTAGAGGCCCATATGATGCTGGGAGTGCTCTATACTGCAAAATATCTTTCAGTTTAGTCCTAGATACTTCAGATACTTTCACAGCAACTGACAGGGACAGTTTCTACCTCTCTAGACAGACGTGCACACTTACCAATCTCTTTTTTATTGGGAGAGTGGGGAGGCACAGAGAACGTACAAAAAGCTAAGGTCCACAACCTATAGCAGCAGGAGGCTTCCTGTGGTGAGCTTTTTGCTTTTCAGGATCTTATTTTTCTGCTAAGCTTGAGTATTTCTCCACATAGCAGCAGGAGAAAGAGAACTGCCCATGGATGAACCACTGGATTTACACAGATCAACATCATCCACAAAAAAAATAAAGATATAGAACCCAGAAACTAAAGCTACCATTTCTATGCATATAGATTTGACTTGTGTAGAAAACCAGAGATTCCCTAGGGCTTCCTAAACCACTGCTTCTTCCCTCTATCAGAATAACTATAGAGCCACCTGCCCAGTCTTTCCCTTTCTCTGTCCCAAAAGGCAGCTATGGGCTGCTCTGCTGTGTTGTTTCTTGCTGTGGTACTTGGCCAGAGGCTCCTCATACAGCTGTTAAATCATCAGAGTTTGCCATCAAGAAAGTACATCTCACATACTAGATCTCTATCACCAGCCCTGTCCACAGCACACAGCTTGGAACTGCCCACAGAGAGGCACCCTGGCCTTTTGCAGAAGTCTCATGAGGTCAGAGTAACTCAGGGCCTGACTTATGGATGTGCGCATGGACTCACTACCTGGTGTCAGTACAAACTCAGGGACTTGGTCAGGACACACCTAATCTCATGTACACAACATGGACACACACTAGAATTGTTATTCTGCCTATGCAGTGAAGCCTTTTACTACTGGTCCATAACTTTGGAAAGGTGAAGAACTGTTTTCACCTCTTCACAGCTGTTCTGTTTTGTTCTCAAATTCAAACATGTACAGAGGTATAGCTTCAACCTGCTACAGTTAAACCAGTGGGTAGCACTCTGGGTTTACACCCTAAAAGGGCAGCACGTGTCATCTTCTGACCAACTATTCACAAGGTGTTTTTGGTAATGATAAAATGAAAAAAAAAAGGCACAGCTAACAGTCCTCCAATCACCCCATACTAATGTGCCAAACCTGTAATACAAAATAGCAGATGTATCTGATTTCTAGAAAGAACAAATGCCTCCTCAAGCCTCTTGCAGTTCAAGTATTAAGCTGGGAAAAGGCTGGCTAGGTCAGTTGACTGGTATTAACTGGTACAAGAGTTGGGAAACTAGATTAGGTTGTTTCCATTGAAAACAGCATTCCTACTCAAATTCAGCTGCCCTAAAAAATAGTACAGCTTACTGGATGCTTGACTTACTGTGTACGCTTGAGTATCCAGTCGGGGAAATCTATGTTATATGTCAGAGATCGCTGCCTCAGTCCTGCATTTCCCTTTATCACTTTATTATTTTTTTCTTTATTCAATAAAACAGTAAGGGAGGATTCAAATACCCTTTGTGATCAGATGCCAAAAATTATACAGAGAAAAAAAAAGCAAACAATAAATACAAGTAAGTTATTAGCTTAATATGGAAACAGAACAGCAGACACATTGCTTATCACAAAGTTTTCTTTATCTGTTAAGAACACACAGCACCCATCTTTCTGAAGAAATAAAATTAATACACTTCCTGAAACTCTGGTGTTATCATTGTAGATAGCATGAATGTTAAAAAGTGTTCCCAATTTCCATTGCTTGCATCTTAGAATAGATACAAAAGCAGAAGAATGACCAAAATACAATAATATGAAACCTAGAAGGGAGAGTTAGAAGTGTTTACGTGAGAAGTTCCTTTTTAATTAAACTGCTGGTGTTACACACACCAGCACTGTGTTTGAGGAGGGTTGGTACCTACACTTTGTTGTGCTGTGAAAAAAGCCGGAATAGGACAGCTCAGGACAGAAGTAAGGATATTTTAAGCTTTCACATGACAACTTAATAGCTGCTTATTGTCAGATGAAGCTGTAAGTATCCTTTCCATTTTGAACAGGCTGGACTTTGTGGCTTCAGGTGGTAATCAGTGGCTGGAGGCCTACTGGTGAGCAACACTTATGCACACCGAGAAAGAGTTGGTCGAGTCCAGCTCTAATTTCAAGGCAAGGATTTTTAAAGCCTTTTTGCCATAACACAAGATGTACAAGAATCTCTCCCAATGGGTAATCTATTCCAGTGTAGATGTGTCCTTTATGTTTTGTCCTAGTTTGTTTTTAATCACTTTATTTAAAGGTCTTCCTCCCTGTTTATGTAGTTCAGCCCTTTCCACAAAGGTACCTTACCACTGTATATCTGTCATTCTGTAACTGAGGTCAGAGACAGACGGCCCTTCGCTTCAACTCCAGTAGCTGGCCATTACTTAATATACAACACATCTAGGCAAATGTAGTGACTGAGCTGTAAGTTACATACATACGATATTCAACTGAGAAGCTTTTAAAAAAAATAAAAGGGAAAGGAATGCTGGAAAACCAATGCCTTCAGTCAGGATGCTGTATGGGTCTCAATAAAAGGGCATCTGCCTTAAGAGTAGGGCCAGAAAGCTTAGTTCAGTTTCTGGTCAGCACTGAACATGATGTCAGTGCTGATGGTGAACTGTGTAACATTTCCTCTACCTAGCATTCATCTTGCTAGCAGGTTATAGGAAAGAAGTATAGAATGGCTCAGGTTGGAAGGGACCTTAAATATCACCTAGTTCCAACCCTCTCCCATGGGCAGGGATGCCACTCACTGCATCAGGTTGCTCAGCGCCCCATCCAGCCTGCCCTTGAACACCTCCAGGGGTGGGGCATCCACAGATTTTTTAAGCAACCTGTGACAACTCAAAGACATTACATTTCTCTAAATAGCACCTCATTTTCTGAAAAGCCTTCAGAAAACACTTCATGCGAAGGGGTAGGCATTTGCTAGCTTTAATTTGCGGAGATGTAGAAGAGAGTTTTTGCTTCATGTGAGGGTAAATCACCACAAGTCTAATGAAGACTGGGTAATTTGGGATGCCTCCTACAGACAGAACTTGGCTCCCAGAGGGTTTCCTTCCCAATTCATTGATTCTCTCTCTCGAAACGCCTAGCAACTCACCACCTAAGCACACCCATAGGCGAAGCCGCCGCGTTACCTTCTTGTTCTGCCTCAGATAGTGGTACCCCAGCGCCAGCTTCTTGTAGGCCTCGCCGTACTTGTCGTGCCAGTCCTGCACGCAGTGCAGGGCAGCCTTCCTCAGCTTCTGTGCCACCTCGGCGGGCGGCGGCAGGGGCTGCCGGTGCTCGGTGCCCACCGTCAGCTCCAGGAACTCCTGGAAGTCGGCGAGGAGCAGCGTGCGGAACCGGTGGGACCTAGCGAAGAGCTCCCGCAGCGCCTGGAAGGCCGACAGGCGCACCTGGGCGTGCGGCTCCCTCAGCCTGGTCAGCAGCAGGTGGTAGGCATGGCCGATGTGGTCATCCGAAGACCTGAAAAGAGGGGAAAAGCGGCAAAAATTACCACATAAATTGCTGGGTTTCGGTCAAAAAAGGCTTTTTGGGGGTTAATTTTCCAGGCCGGCTCCTACTTGCAGATTTTCTTCAGCTCCTTCAGCCTGCCCGGCTCCAGCTGCGGCTCCCCGGCTGTGGTGAGCTCCTCCACCAGCTCGGCCAGGCGCTGCGCCATCGCCCGCGGCCCCCCGGCTCCTGTCAGAGCCCCTCACAACCCGCCCCCCCCCGGGGAACGCGCCGGGTGGTGCCTTCCTCACGCAGCCACCCCCCCGGAACGCGGCGGGTGGTACAGCCCGCTCTCCTTCTTCACGGAGCCTACCCCTGCTGACGGGGTGGCAGCGCGCGTGACGTCACGCTGGGTGGAGGAGAGGGAGGGGGAGGTCCTTAAAGGGACCGCGACTGAATATTTTTTTGGGGGGTGGATGGATAAATTACAAAGTTTCCACAGAATTGATCAAAAATCCACATCAGGGCTACAAAGCTGGTGAAGGGCTTGGAGCACAAGTCCTGTGAGGAGCGACTGAGGGAGCTGGGGGTGTTTGGGCTGGAGTCTTAGCATCGCACCACATGAAATGCCTGTAGTAAGCATAGTTGCAGCAGTAGGGGGCTGGTTGAACTGAGGTAAAATACACTTTTATGACGCATTGAACACACTCAGTACAAGCCAGGAGGAGCCAAATAGCGAGAGGTTACAAAATAGTCTGAAATGAGTCAAATTAGACGCAGGAGGAGGGGTGATAGGGTTGATGCCCTGTTCTGGTGTCCCCCTCCAGCAGCCACACGAGCGTGGCTCAGTTACTGGAGGTCATGGGGCTCTCCTGGGTTCGCTCCTGGCAGCACTTGTCCTCCTTTCAGTTTTGGGTGCCTCACTGGAAATGTGTTGCAGGCCCCCATTTCTGAAAGCGCTGATCAAACACTGGGAAGGACCAAGCCCTTGCAGGTGCTCACTTTGAGCATCTTGAAGAAGGGAGGCATTTAAAATGGCTATTCCCGTTTGAAAATGTTGTCAGGTGTTTGAAGGGTGTTTCCCTTCATCCACAACTAAGGCGTGTGTTGAAATTCGTATTGCAGCTCTCCGAGCTGGCTTCTGGGATAGGAAAGACATCATTGAACACTTTGTACAAGTAGTGAACTCATATTTTCAAACACATTTACTACAGTGAAATCATACATACATTTTGCGGCGGTTCTGTTATTTTTGACTTGATATATGAAACTAATAGCATTTTACTTTTAAATAATGTTTTTCCTTCCTTGTTGCCTTCCATCTAGTAAAATGGATGTCCTACATTTCTGTGTGAAAAGCACATACGATGGCACAACTAATCTTCAAAGTTTAGATCAGTTTACTCTTTCAATATTTCTTATTTTTCTATTTTGTTTCTTAATTTGATTGAAAGTGCCTAAACAACTGCTTTCTATTAGGTTATTGCTTGCAACAATAACATTGCTTTAATGTTTAGAAACAGTATTTCAAAAGGAGCCTCAAGCAAGGTACTTAACATCTACAAAGTCACCATTTCATATCCATGCATAATGTTTAAGAAATCCCTGCAAGGAGCCATATGGTTTTTGCAAAGAATCGCTTGATGAATGAATGCTGAGTTGTGTAACTCATTCATGGTGGTCCCTTAGGCAAATCCCAGCGACAGCTAAGCTGTTTGCTTATTTATTTATTTATTTGATCGCAGGCAATTACATAAAATTGTGTTTGCTCGAGTTGCTGAGTTTCTTTTCCCATCTACTTTTCAATGAACATGGTAAATATCCACCATTCAAATATTTCCATGCTTCCTTCATCTGGACCAGTCTGATAAAAGACTGCAGAGAGCTGGACCACTGCAGAATTCATTTTGCTGCAGAAGTCCCAACCACTCTGCACTTGCTTTGATTTTCCCCTGCTCAGGGTGGTGCAGGGGAACGCAGGACACTGTGGGGTGCAGAGGCAGGAGCTAAGAGCAGCTGCTGCCCCTCTGAGCCTCAGCACTGAGACTTACTACCAGTTTACACCTGATTTCAGCAAAGCCTGAGTCTGCTGCTTCATGTCACATGCATCACGACAGGTTGTTGGCTCTGCAAGTCCAGTATCTTTGGCTAAATACATAGACAAAGTATAGTGCCAAACAGAATTTTATCCATTGAAACCACTTATTTGTGTCTGAAGGTTCTTACATTAAAGCAGAGCCAGCTGTTCTGTCCCAGATTTAAAATGTCAAGATGATGGCTCTAGGAAGGATTGTTTCAAACTTTCACGTAACATTCAATTTTCAGGTATTCTTTTTAAAAAAGAAAGATCCAGGTAGAAGACAGTTCCACCATGTTATTAGATGATTCTTTGCCTGGGATTGTTTTCAGCTGTGCAATAAAAGAGCATGTCAGGCAGAAAGAAACCCCACTGAACTCTTAAAATAGCTGTCTTCAGCTTAATGATATGAAATTAAAAAGGAGGGTTTATTCTTCTGCCAAAATGGAACTTAGGCAAAAAAAAAAAAAAAAGCTTTTCTACAAACAATCTGGAGTTAAAATAACTTTGGTTTCAGGCCTGAAGATGCAGAAACATGATAAACACTGATATTAAGTTGTCACAGACTTTGTGCCAGTTGGTTTGCAAAGAAAATACTGACCTTCTGTGTGAGAAGAATAGATGCTTAACCGCTAGTTTGACTCAAGCAAAAGGATGACAGTTATTTGAGAGCCCTGAACAAGCTCCTAAGGGGTAAGGACTATATTTAAACAGATGTTCTCAAGGAAAAAATGCTCTATTCATTAAACCATCAATAACACGAGGCCAACAATACTTGGCGACCTCCTGTAACTGTGTGAAATACTGTGACAACACTTCGGCCTATTGTAACATTTTATAATTCTGTCATAGGCGGAGATGAATGAACCTGCTCCATATGGCCTAGATCATGAATTAAATAACCATTTGTAAGTTGGATGGAGCAGGAATAGCTGCAGGAGAACCATCGCAAATCAAGGAGCACCTACCTATGCTTAGCTTGTACTTGCATCTAGAATAGGTTTTAAAATGATCCTACAGCATTTCCTGAAAACTCCACGCCAGTAACAACAAATTGCTATTTCTTCCATGGAAAAATCTAACCAAAACCTAAAGAGAAAGGCAAATAATGAGTCCCAAACCAGCTGGCATTCTTCCAGGTTAGACAGGTCAACAGCACAAGTTAATATTTCTGTGAGAATGCACCCAAAGAAGAGCAACCCAACCTTGCAAGCAGGTGTCTTTGTTTGTTTTGGGGGTGTGGATACCAGTCTTTAAGGCAGGACTCAGATTGAGTGGCTCAGAAAAGGAGGACTTTGAAGCTTGTTACTATGTAGGAGAGAGAACAAAAGAGGAAATACAGCCCAAATTCTGCTTGAAGATCCCCTGCTGCTAAATTGCACAGTGACAAAAATGCCACATGTATACAGATGGGACTGCTTTCAAATATATGATGTTAGCAGACATTTCTTAAACAACCTAAAGATACTGGTTTGGGTGTCACATCGAGTCCTTGATAGTGCATTTTGGAAGCTCTTTTTGCCTGACATCTGAGCCATCCCACCCTCAGAAAGCCATCACCTGCAGAAGAACCACAGTTGCTGTAGCTGGGCTTTCCAAATGAGCAGCTGTGCGTAGTTGTGGCTCCAGATACAAAAAGGTATTATTTTTTTCTTCCTTTCCTAAAGATACAGAAAAGTGGAGAACTGCTCTGAAACTGCTAAAGGCCTCTAGTTAAAAGGGGAGGATTTATAAATAGTACAGCTGTGAGGAATGATGCCCCTGTGTGATATGCTTATCACAGTTTAGCAAGGTTTCATACACAACACCTCTAGATTAGGCCTAAGGAGGAAATCGACTCCTTTCAGCCATATGAATGTGTCTACACCAGTCACTTAAGGAAACCACCCATTTAGAAATGAAATGTCTTGTTTAGTCATCTCAACTCTCTGTATCTCAACTCAACAACCAGCAAGAGAGCGGCACTTTCACAGAGAAAGCCGTAGAGCATCGGGGGGACATGGAGTGGAGTCTAAATCTTAAGTGGCTCTGTTTTACCAGGACCAAGTCCATTCCTGATGTGAAGCTGTTGTCATCTCCACCAGCCAACAGGAACAGCATTGCACAAGCACTGGCTGATCGGTGGTTTTCAGTTTCAGATTTCTCCGTCCTGTTCTCACTCCAGGTAGTTACAACCCAGTGATGCCACGATCATTCGCTCACAGGAGCCAGTCCTCAGTCACCAGGCAACTGTCCCATGGAGGCACGCTGTCAGCCTTCAGGTTTTTTTTGCATTTCCATCATCTTTTATGAATAGCGACCAAGAAAGCCACATAGATCAAAACAAGTGAATTTCTTTCACTGCTGTGATAAAAGAACACTTTGTCTTTATGAAGAGATTATTTATACAAGTCAGCTTTTGCAGACAGAAGGAAAGTCCCTGGTTTAAGATTACGAGGTGGTTGGGACAAAAATAGAGTGCAAAGACCACAGCTAGGGAGAGAAGGAAATACCGAAGTATAATTAAACGGAAGATGGAAGTATCGTGAAAAGAAGAAGGCAGCAAGCCTTGTGAAATGTCTAGAGCCAGTCCTTTAGAGGATTTGGATGATCTTTGAGGTCCCTTCCAGCCCGAACTATTCTGTGATTCTGTGATTTATATTTATGCTTTTAAAGAGATGTTTTACACTTCTGTGGCTAGATATTTAAGTGGCAACAAAATGCAAAATGGTATTTATTCATGTTTTCTTGTATTTGCACCCTTATTTTTTTGCAGCAAGTGCATTGTGACAGTGCCACTGACCAACATAGAGCTGTTCTTTTACACTGTGCTCTACTGAGACTCCTAAACTGTTTCACAAACTTTCAGGCAATTGAACCTCAACACAATGCAGAACAAGAATGGTAGATGCAGTCTACATATACAAAGACTAAGCTGACAAAAAGCCTTCCAGAAAAGCTGAGCACAGAGTTTGGAGTGCTGGCCCCGTTCCCTGACTTGCAGCACCTCCAGTCACACGTCCCTCAGCAGCATCACTCTCACAGCCCCGTGTTTCAGCTTGTTTCATGCAAGTGTTAAAAGGCCTCTAAAATGATTCATTGCTACTTTTCGTCACTGTGCAAGTCTTAACAGTAGAATTGATATAAAATAATGAAAAAGCAGTTGTGTTGAATACACCTGGGTAAAATATATGCAAAGTTTTCTTGACTTCCTATTAAGAAGGTCAACATTTCCAAGAGAGACAGTACAACAACGACCAAAATTTTTGCTGCTCTAATAATTTCCTGCATAAAAATTTATCAGTTATCGACACA